CTTCATCAGACAAGTTTCTTTGTGTAGTAGACAGCAGTTAATACAAAAACTCACAACTGGTCATAGTTCTGAGAATGTGTCCATGAAGTGCTCTGTCACAAAGGGGACATACCCCTTCCCTCAAGGCTCAGGTACTATCTGCAAAAAAGGGGACAAGATCAAAAGAGTCAGAGGTTGGGGAAGGCTAGAGCAAAACAGTGTCTTTTGGATATAACAGGACTACTGTACTCATGAATTCACAGCAGCTGTAGTTGCCTGCACAAGATCGGCACGAGGTCGAGCCAGTCAGCATTCTAGCATGGAGTAGGAAGAAAGTCACCAGCCAGGACCCCTACCTGAGGAACCCTGGGTAATTGATGGCTGCTTAGGGAGGGAGAGTCAGTTTTCTTTAAGGGGCCCTGGTAGGTCAACCACTCTCCAGTGGATGGTCTCACACCTATGAGTACGCGGGCAGCACGAATTGGACTCAGTGGTCTATAAGAACAAAGAAAAGCAAAGGAAGGCATAAAGTTGGAATGGGTGGGAGGTTGGACAGCGGATCTGGGAGTGGTTACAGAAAAGAAATGGGGTGGATATCATCAAAACACATTGTGTACATGTATGAAATTCTCAAAGAATTAATAAAAATATTTTAAAAGAGAAAATGTGGTACATATATACAATGTTCTAGAGAAGAATGAAAATATGATTTCATAGGAAAAAACAAAAAGAAAGAAAGAAAACCTGAAGAGCAAGACAGCAAGCAGCATCCTCATGGTTCTTGCCTCTAGGGTCCTGCCTTGAGTTTTTGCCCTGACTTCCCTCAATGATGGATTGTGACCTAGAAGTGTCAGATGAAATAAATCCTTTCTTCCTCCAAGTTGATTTAGGGTCAGAGTGTTTTTTAAAAATATTTATTATTTTTATTTATTTATTTATATGTATGAGTATTTGCATGTATGTATGTGTAACACATGCCTGCAGAGGCCAGAGGAGGGCACTGGACCCCATGAGACTCCAAGTTACATACTGTTAGCTGCCACGTGGCTGTTGAGAACTGAACCTGGATCCTCTGCAAGAGCAGTAAGTGCTCTTAACTGCTGAGCCATCTCTCCAGCCCCAGGTCAGTGTTTTATCATAGCAACAGAAAAGAAACTAGAGCAGTAGCCCAGGCTGGATTCAAACTCATGATCTGCCTCTGCCTCCTGAGTGTGGGGACTACAGGTTTGTACTCAGTCCCAGATTCTTAGAATTTTAAAATGTACAGTCACACTGTCCAAGAACAAAAGCAATTTTGCTTTCCTTTCTAATTAATGCCTTTTTTCCTTTTCTTGCTTTATTAACTTGCCCAGGATTTCTAGTATAATGTTGAAGAGATTCTTTTGAGTTTTGAGGCAAAATTGAGAAAAATTTTTTAGGACATTTGCATACTTTCATCATTTAATTTTAAACTCAGCACTCGTTTATCAGTGGAAAGAGCCTCTGAAAACTTGATCCAAGCTGTTGAAGTAACTCCTGTGATTCCAGTCTGGCTTCTAAATCTGAATGCTCCGATCTCTTCTACTATGTATACGCACTTCCTTTTTCCCTTGGGAAGCGTCTGAGTCAGCAAGTCTGACCTTGGAAAGGAGCCTTCTTTCCTAAGCTTTCACCCATGTGATTCCCTCTTCCTCCTGCTTATCAAAAACCTTTCCGCCCTTCAAGTTCTGACTTGAAGAAACCCTCTTGTAGGAAAGGTTTTGGTGATCAACCATCTTTTCTTTCAGCACCCACTGCCTTAACTGCGCCATTCACTGAGTGCGGTCTCTGTGTCATCACCTCTCCTAGGAATCTGGTCACAGGCTCCTCCAGAGCAGACCTGGTACCCACTTGAGCCCAGTTTCCTAACACTCCTCCTAGAGCCAGCCTCTCAAAGGTGAGGCTGCTGCCTTTCACTTCATTCCTTTGTGTGCCTTTGTGTAAGTCAGAAAAAAAACCCTTCTTTTTTTTTGCCTGATATAGCACTGTGTCAAAGGCGTGGCTGACTAATAAGAGCTCAGGCTGTGTTTCTACCCCCACATCTCCCTTCTACAACATCTCTTCAAAACCTGCATGGCTGTTATGGGTAATCCTGCCTGAAGAAGAACTGATAAATGAACAAATGATTCTGAAATATAGGTATTAAAATTTTTTTGTGTGTGCAAGTATGTGTGAGTGCCCTCAGAGGCCAGAAGAGGGTATCAGGTCCACTGGAACTAGAGTTACAAGCTATTGTGAGTCACCTGACATGGGTGTTGAGAACTGAACTTGGGTCCTCTGCTAGAGCAGAAAATGCTGTTAACCACTGAGCAATCTCTCCAGCCCAATAGGAATAGGCATAGGCACAGACACAGACACAGACAGACATAGATGTAGGTATAGATATAGATATATACTGGGGCTTAGGGAGGGATGTTACTGAAGGATCCACCCAGGAGTTGTAGAAACTTGAATTTGTCCTGTAGATGTATGTCTGCCCCTAAAGTTTACCCACCTCCCTCTCTGGTCCCCACATGAGTCCAGTGTTAGGGGCCAGGTCAGTAGTGACCTTCCCCCAGTGCAGCAAAGCCCCACAAGACGGCCCTGGGGGCTTCTGGAAAATAGGAGTTGAGTCAGCATGAGTCAGCATAGTCTGTTTCTATTTTTATCCTGCCGCTGAAGCAATTTTTATCTTTCAGGCCCCTATAAAAGCCTCCAGCCAGCAGCTTGGGAGCTGATGGCTTCCTCACTCCCAAGCTGAGAGCCATCCCATATGAGCTTCCAAATAATGCCCTGCCAGAGTTCTTGTCTATGCCTCAGTTTACCTATCATATGGTGCCGAAACCCAGGATGCTTCCATTGGAGGTTGCACGTAAAGAACTCCAACTGGACTGGCTGCTGCTACCAGCCCCCTGCGTACACCAGTGATTTGGTTTTGAGGTACATCCTGATTTTCTTTCTCCTCTGTTTTCGATTTCTCTCTCTCTCTTCTCTCTTCTCAACTTCTCTGTTCAATTTCTCAGAGGTCACTCCCAGCCCCAAAATCAAGGCCACTGGGCAGCACAGGTCTCTGTGACTGTAGAGTGTCCAGCACGGTTACTGTGTCTGCCTAAGCCCACCTGAGGGGTAGACATGCCCCTCCGATGCTCTCAAACCCTTTCTCCTCTCTCTCTCCCTTCTCAACTTCTCTGTTTTCTTCTTTGACTCAAAGGTCACTCCCGGACCAAAACTCAAGGCCACTGGGCAGCACTGATCTCCGTGACCATTGAGTGTCCAGCACGGTTACTGTGTCTGCTTAAGCCCACCTGAGGGATAGACCTGCCCCTCCAACGCCCTCAAACTCTTTCTCTTAAAGTCTCCTAGTCCTGGTGACTAGTTCTCCTAAAGGAGCACAGACCTCTCCCAGCCTGCTAAAAGGTTCTCTGGCTGCCCATTGTGATGGGGGGCAGTCCCAGAGACCTTAGAAGCCTACTACCTATGCAGGGGTGCAGGCCTCTTGTCTTGAGGTCATATTAGTGTTCTGTGTAAACCTTTTGAACTTTGGCTCCACGGATCAGAGTCTCCCTTTTCCTCATTCTATTCACACACTCTCTGGAAATCCGAGAGGAGTCTGATCCCACGAAGGCACAGGCTGGACCTGAGGCATGTCCAAAGGCTGGTCCTAAGACTGGGTAAAACAGGGAAGGCAGACTCTGGAAGTTTCCACTCTCCTCCTTTTTCATCTCATGGCCTCTCACTAGGCCTCAGACTCTCTCTCTCTCTCTCTCTGGCCAATGCCATGAAGGCATGGGCTTGACCTGAGGCATGTCCAAAGGTTGGTCCTAAGACTAGGTGAAACGGGGAAGGTGACTCTGGAAGTTTCCAGTCTCCTCCTTTTCCTCTCACAGCCTCTCACTGAGCCTCAGACTCCCTCATTCTCCCTCTCTTTCCTCACTCCCTGTACCTCCCCTTCACTTTTGTTTTCTTGTGCTCCACGATTTGCAGCCTTTCTTTCTCGCTCCCACCCTCCTCGGGCTCCTCTTTCCTCAGCTTCCACTGGGTCTCAGACTCTCTCTCTCCCTCTCCCCTCACCCCCTACATCCCACGTTTGATTTCCTACTCCGCCGCCTGGCCATGTCACACTCTCGCTCCTGGCCTTTCTGCTCGAGTCATAAAACCACACCAGTGTGTCAGAAAGCTCCTTCCTTCTCTTGTTACGGGATGCCATTTCCAGAGACAGGAACACGTCTGCCTTGCTGTCTGGGACAGGAACTCGTACCTTCCCCTCTCTGTTGATTGCAGGACGCTGCCTCCAGGGACAGGGAACACATTTTGGGCCTTCGTCACTGAGCAATGCCTTGCTTGATGATTGGTCCCACATGCTTTCGTTTGGCAGGACCTATGGCCTATGTCTCTTCTCATACTCCTCCCTCTCACTTTTTTCCTTGTGTCCCTTGCCTTTATGCCTGGGATGCTAGCCACCACTTTAGACTCCACTTCTCAAGGTGAGAGGATCCTCATCGTCTCTTTCTACCTACTTGCTCAGTTCCTCCTCTGTTTTCTCATTGCAGTCCACTTGATCTGCCACTGAGCTGGGAGCCTCTCAGTCTAAACCTGAAGGTCTCACACCTCTTGCTTGCCTTCTCAAGTCTCTAAAGCAATTAGGACTTTCTAACACAATCAAGCCAAAACACTTGAAGTTTCTGTGCACCACTGCCTGGCCACAATACAAGCTAGACAATGACTCCATTTGGCCAGATGCAGGAACCCTAGACATCAACATTTTAAGAGATTTGGATAATTTCTGCTAGTGTACTAGCAAAAGGTCCGAGCTTCCCTATGTCCAAGCCTTCTTTGACCTTCACGCTAATCCCTCCCTCTGCACCTCTTGTTGCCCACGTCAAGTCCTCCTTGAAAAAACTATTCCATGTGATCTCCATATGTCTACCCCTACTCCCCTGGAGCCCTCTGCTCCCCTCCATATTCTCCTACCTCAGCCTTTGGCCCCAACATGGCAGATGAGTGTCCCCTGATTAGGACTTAACCTCAACCTGCTCCTTCCCTTCAACCCGAGGCACATCTGTCTCCTCCTCCTGCTCAACCTTCACCATATCCCCCTTTGCCTCCACTCCCTGAACCTGACCCAGCTCACCTCCCTTCTCCACCTCAGACCCCCACCTCCCAGTCTTCCCTTTCTCCTCTGCCCCGCCACCCCAAGCCACATACTCCTTCCCTCACTGGCAGCTCTACCCTACTTGAACACAGTCCAGGCTTCAAGCAGCTTCTTGATCTCAAGCAACTTTTCAACAAACACCCTCTACTCTTCCTCATTTCACCCTCTACTACCAAGACTCCATTGATCTCTCCTATGTCCATTCCTTCTCTCACCTCAACCTCAGGGTATGCCTCCTGCCTTCCTGTGCTTCCTTGTGACTCCCTAGGCTTCCGTGACCTCCCCCTCTCTTTCCCCTCCATCCTGTGTCTTGCCATATCCGCTCCCATGCCCAGTCTCAGTCCTCTGCCTCTCATGGCATCTTCCCCCATCAGGAGGTGGCAGGAGTGGTGGAAGTGGTTAAAGACCACATCCCATTTTCCCTTGGTGACCTGTCCCAGCTTGAGTGCAGGATAAGCTCTTTCTCTACTGCCCCACACACTTCATACAAGAATTCAAACACATCACCCATAGCTATGATATAACCTGGCATGACATCTTTATGATTTTCCAGTCCACACTCACCCCCAATGAAAGACACAGGGTCTGGATGGCAGCTCAAGAGTACACTAATGAGCTCCACTCTACCAACCAGACCCATCCTATTGAGATTGAGGCAGTTCCCTTACAAGACCCTGGGTGGAATTACCAACTCCCACTAGGGAATCAGGAAGGACCTTCCCCAGGTAGGGCAGCAAGGGATCATATGATCACTTGTCTCCTGATGGGTCTTCAGAGAGCTTCGCTTCCTAAGGCAATTAACTTTGAAAAGCTTAGGTTGATTGCCCAGGGCCCTACTGAAACCCAGCTCTGTTTATAGATAGACTTACCGATGCCCTGGATCAGTATACCAAGTATAACCCAGAGTCCAGAGAGGGATGGCTTATGCTCAACCACCATTTTATCTTACAATAGGCCCAAGACATTAGAAAGAAAATTAGATGCCTAGACAAAGGTCCTGAAACCCCCACGGGAGATCTGTTAAACCTGGCATTTAAAGTCATCAATAACCAGGAGGAACAGGAGAGGGCAAACAAATTCACCCTGTCCTAACAAAAGTACCAGCTGATGGCCGCAATCCTAAGGGCTCCTCCAAAAAAGATGATGGACACCAATGGGGCCCAATGGCTGCTTCCAGGACCCTGCTTCAAATGCAGAATCACCAGACACGAGGCAAGGCAATGCTCAAACCTGCAGCTGCCTCCTGGACCCTGTCCTCAATGGAAGCACTGAGGTCACTGGAGAGCTGATTGTCTTTTGATGCGTCAAGGAAGGCCACTCACCTCCTAGACCCAGCCTGCTTTACAGGGTTCAGTGAACGACCTCCTGGGCCTGGTGGCTGAAGACAGACAGGGCCCTGGCTCATCGGCCCCCACCTCCTCAATGACCATCACCATGGAGGAGTCCAGGGTAATGGCTATGGTGGTGGGTAAGGCTATTAATTTTGTTTGGATACAGATGCCTCGTGGTCTGTTCTCCTCTCCTACTCCAGTAGAGTTTTCCCTTCACAGATCTCTGTGGTGGGGGGTTGATGGGAAGCCCCATAACCCCCAAACCACAGGACCCTTGTGCTGCATTTTCTGGGAAACTCCCTTCTCCCACTCTTTTCTGGTTATGCCCTCATGCCTAGCACCTCTACTTGTCAGAGAGCTCATGAAAAAGCGCTCATTGTCTATATCTCTCCCCTTCTCCACAGCCTTCCTCCTTTCTCCTATGCCCCCCCTCCATGACTAGGACCTGGCTGCTTCCACCTTCTGAGGTAAATCTCAAAGTCTGGGATACCTCGAGCCCAGGACTAGCCTCTCCTCATACTCCTATCCACATTTCCCTAAAGGATCTCTCTCTATTTCCCAGTAGACCCCAATATCCAATTTCATTCAAACACTGTCAAGGACTCAAACTCATCATTCAGAGACTCTTCAAAGGTAATCTCCTCAAGCCCACTCACTCACCTTACAACACTCCCACTCTCCCTATTCTTAAACCTGATGGCTCTTGCTGTTTAGTACAGGACCTCCGCCCCATTAATGCAGTGGTAGTCCCCATGCATGCAGCCATCCCCAACCCCTATACTCTCCTCTCTCATATTGCCTCCTCCAACACCCACTTTACTGTCTTAGACCTTAAGGACACCTTCTTTTCAATACCTCTACATTCTGACTCTCACAATCTCTTTGCATTCACTTGGGAAGACCCTGATACTGAGACAGTGTCACAACTAACCTGGACTGTCCTACCCCAGTGATTTAGTGACAGCCCTCACCTCTTTGGGCAAGCCCTGGCCCAAGACCCATCTTCCTTAGATCTACACCCCTCTGCCGTCCTACAATGTGTAGACAACCTCCTCCTCTGCTCCCCATCTCGTCCCTTCTCTAAATCCCATGCAGTCAAACTTCTAAATTTTCTGGAAAACAAGGGATACAGAGTATCTCCAGCAAAGATGCAACTTTCCCTCCCCCAAGTCAAGCACATGGGGTTCCTCCTTACCCCCACCTCTCACCACTTAACTATAAATAGAACAAATTACTTAAGGTCTTTAAGACCCCACACACAACCAAGGAGGAAATCCTGTCCTTCCTAGGCATTGCAGGGTATCTACACATCTAGATCCCTAACTTTGCCCTTCTAGCCAAGCCCCTCTATGAGGCCTCCGAGGGGGACCCACTCTGAGCCCATCGAGCCCCTAGGGCCATTAAGAGCAGCCTTCCACACTGTCTGGGATGCCCTCCTAAAGGCACCAGCTCTAGCTCTCCCTGACCTGGGATCTCCATTTCTCCTCTATACAACAAGGGCCTGGCACTGGGGGTCTTGGGACAGATGAAGGGACCCACTTTTGCCCTGGTAGCTTATCTTTCTAAACAGCTGGATACTGCCATCCAGGGATGGCAGTCTTGTCTCCACACTCTGGCTGCCACATCTCTCCTAGCCCAGGAAGGGCTTAATCTCACTCTAGGTCAACCCATCTCTGTCCTCTCCCCCCACTGTCTTAAGGACCTGCTAACCCACTCTGCCCTTGCCAATCTAGCCCCATCAAAGATACAGCTTTTTCATGCCACCTTTCTTGAAAACCCCTTGTTCACCCTTGACTCCTGCCCTCCTCTCAATCCTGCCTCCCCCCTTCCTTCTGCAAAGCCACTCACTCACTAATGCCTGGAAACCCTTCAGGAACTTTCTTACTAGGACCTCTTAATCTCCCCAGAGCCCCTACCTAACCCAACCCTGACTTGGTTTGTGGATGGAAGTTCAACCCTCACTCTGATGGCATCCTGCAGGGCAGGGTATGCCATAGTGTCCCTCACAGACATTATTGAGTCGGAACCACTGCCGCCTGGGACCATGTCCCAAAAGGCTGAGCTTGTGGCACTCACCAGGGCCCTTACTTTAAGGGTCAGAGGGAACATTTAAGAGGATAGTAACGTTCAATCCACAAGGGAGCCAGAGAGCAGAAGTTGGCTCATTTCCGTATTTTCAGGTTGTCATCTTCACGAATAGACAGAAACTAACTGATTGTGGGGTATAAGCTCTCATGCATCTGGTCACAAGTATAGCCAGAGAGGATCTCAGGTGTCACGCCACCTCCAGTGGAGCCCACGTGAGGAACTCTCCGTGGGTCAAGGCTGAGAAAACTTCAAAGGAAGAATGCTTCCTGGAGAATGGCTGTGTTAAAAAGCATGCTGTGTCCTTGGCTGTTCTGCTTTAGTTCTTGTCTTCATTGCTGTCTTTATTCCTGTTCTTTCCTCATAGAGGAACTGCTTTGTACCTACTCAGGTCATTAGGCCCACCTGAAGAGAGACTAGATACGGATGATTTCCTGGGAACTCAGTTTCCTGATATTAGACTTCCTCCAAATGCTCTTTTCTTGTTTTAAACAATAAGTAAAGTAGCTAAGAATAAGCAACTTTGAAAAATTCTAGATAAGTTACAGCAAGAAGAATTATTTGTAAATAATCCCCCTGCTTCAGTCAGTCCCTAGAGTTGACTCGAGGAGATTAAAGGGATACTGAAAGAAGATTGCTGCCTACAGTTAAGACAGACTTAGGAATTGCCTACTAGTTAGGGAGAGGTAGGCTATGGCATCCCCTTAAGGGAAAGGAGAGCATATTTAGAATCCCCGAGCCCACTGATGAACCACTTCCTCATACAAGAGTTTATGAAGAAAATAATAGACGGGTAAATATTCAAGGAAGGAAAGTTTCATGGTATTCATTGTAGTTTATGGATGGGTTAGCTAGATCTAGACCACCTCGGTGCCTTTACTACAAGTCAGTGCAGCAAAATATACTTGAATAATTACAGACAGTATAAGAAACATGGATAGAAAGAATAGGAAAATAAGGATTAGAGAAACAAGCCTTTGAAGTTATATGGAGTTATAACTTCACTGACTTAGTCATTGGCCTCAGCCACCGAAACCTCAGAAGTAAAATAAAATTGAGAAAACGGAACCATAAAATTACCAACCATGAAATTTGTAAGTAGCTGATGTTGCCAAACCACTAAGGGAAAAGGACAAACAGTCTAAGCACCTGATTAATTAGATAAGAACACTCTACAGTGTACTGTATTGCTTTGATTTTGAATTGTATTTCTAAGAAAATGATTAACCATGAAATCAACCTGATGCTTGCACAATCTTGTTCTGTAACTTGTATAAAATCTGATGCTCCACTTTAGAAAATTACATTCAGATCATCAACCATCTCTGTGTTGTGTCTGTTTGTCACTCACCGAATCCTTGCCCACTCTCCGATTCCCTGTTCCCGTCGGACTGAGTGCTCCGGTCTGGGCTGGTCCGTCACACTCAGGTTTGACATTGGTAAAGGCAGATACTTCTGTCAACCTAATCCCGCTTGATACTGCCAAATATCCATGGTATAATAAAGCTTAGAAATATGAAGC